AATTCTCTATCAATTAGTATGGCCTTCCATTTTTATTAGGAAAGTGTCTAGATGAGGAAATTGAAAATACAGTTTTCAAAAAATGTAAAACTGGATTTTTAGCACCAAAATTTAACGTTTTTCAAAAACTAATGTGAGATTCGTAATCAGCGTCAAAAACTGCATCTAGTGATATGCTCCTATCAGTTCTACTCTAAAATAATTTTTTCAAAAACTTGATCAGCGAAGTCTCGAGTTACGTGGACAAGCCGTGCAGTTAATCAGTTCGAAATAATACGTCCGAAAAGCTTTTACTACGTTGAAAAGATGATAAAAACACACTCTTTTACAAAAATATTCTTCTAGTTTGTTTACAGTTTTCACGATATTACAAGCACAACAACTTTTTGAAAATTGCACCCAAAAGTAAATTATTTTTATATGTATGTTGATAGTTGAAGCAATTGATTATGAGCGACTAGAACGGACGAAAAATATGCCTTATAAGATCACTTAATACTACTTAATAATACCTTTTAGCGCGAGATCTTTGTGTTTTTTTGAGTTTTGTACAAACTGCATGTGTTACACGATGTTGTATAGCTTTTAAACGTGGATCATCTCTTTTATAGTATTCAATTGATCTTTCAACAGATACAAAATAATGATGCGCTAAACATGATTTTGGTGATAAAATAATTTTGTCTACCGAATCATAGGACGCATAGTCGATTAAATAGTAAAAAATGTCTCCATGTACTTCAGCAATAATGTTAGTTATTGTACCATAATACGAATATATATCATAAAGGATTTTCTTATTCATTTCAAATTTTAAACCTATCCTAATTCCGTTTGAAATAACATATCGATCCATTTTATTACATACACTCTTTTTCGATAACATTCGCTTTAAATTCAGCGTTCTTTTTCCAAGTTGAAATGGAGTGGTTCTGTGAACGTCCAGAATTTGTATAAGACAACTAACATCTGCGAAAGTTGCAAAGGCTAATCCACTGAATGCAAATGGAGGTTTTTTTTCAGGAATTAATTTCACATTTTTAATCTTTCCATATGATTTAAATAAAGCTTTTATTTCTGTGGCTGCAACTCGAAGAGGTAAATTGCATATAAATAAGTCCGTGTTGATACTAGTATCCTAGACATTGGAAGACAAAACTTAATGAACTGCGTGAAACAAAAGTCATTTTGAATTAAGGCTTTTTATCAGTAATTTTTTTTGTTTTAAAAATTCTGATGTTTAGATCTCGATAGGATATTTATCAGAAAATAATGATAAATGAACCAAAGCGTATATTATACACTTAATTGAAAAAGTTTTTGATACTCAAATTGCTGCTGAAAAACTATGTTATGATCGAACAAGTTTATCTTAAGTGTTATTTCATCTTTTTGGAATCGATGCTCAAGATGAGAAAGATAGATATCAATGTTATTCGTGGGCAACGAGGTATGTGCATAATACATATCATATTTTTTCTTCTATTCTTACTTATGTTTTTATTCAGACCAATAGACCCATTGGCACTTCACTATGCACAACAAGATTGCCACTATTTGATTAGGATACATGAAAAAATGAAGGAAGAATTGGATAATGATGCTTATTATGATGTATTACAAGAAAGTGATGCACTAGCATTACAGGTTACAATTGTTTTATTCCCAGCTAACACAGATTTTTTTTTATTATGGACGAATTCTATTTGTATAGTACCACAAAAGACGACGATTAAAAATGTATCAACATGAGTCGATTTTAAGGAATTAGTTCTTGTAGTATGAAAACCATTCAGCTTTTTGTTATTTAATGTTTATCAAGTGTACTGCAAATGTTTTATAACTGCTCATCATAGATCATCGTGATTGTATGGATGGTACAGATGAATAATACATTTTTGATATTGAAGAATTACGAGATGGCATATATGATTGTCCACACGGTGATGATGAAGAGATGAATTGTTCAATATACATATGAAACTGAATATTTTCTTCCTTATAGTCAATTATTCGTGCGTGATCTTAATATTCAAATAGATCTAGATGCAAGTAATTATTGTCCTGATACTCGTAATGTATCACAACATGATTATCTATTACCAACAGGTGAGATGAGTGTGGAACATTTATATTTGTAAGGTGCACGCCTTGCAGTTAAAATTTTTTCTCGAAGTTTTAAACACCATTCGAGAGAGAATTGGACGGCGATCCCGAATATGTGTTCCCCGCTTCCCCAAACCCTTTCCTCACTGAACTATGCTCAAAATACTGGGACCGTGTCAAAAACCCAAAAATCGGTTTTGAGTTTCGAGCTTTGAGATTAAGCTTCTCGGATTCAGAATTGAAAACTGAATCTAGAAAACTTACTCTCAAAGCCATAGAACGAAAATGGATTTTCCCCAAGGCCCGAAACCGATACAGCTCAAACCCGACATCCTCACCGCAAAGTTTTCACAGGTTTTTCTGGAGATCGAACCGATATACACATGGCCAGATTCGCCTTTCGACAAGGAACAAAGTTATATGCTCAGCTTTTATTTCCTCAGAAAAATTATTTTTTCTAAATCAGAGGCGAAAAAGTCGGAATCCGGCCCATAATTCCCAATTTTCTCCATCCGAACTCAACTTTTAAGCGATAAAAATATCATATTCGGGATTTGGATCAAAAACTGAGTCGACTTATGTGTATTTCTGGCCTATCCGATTACTTTAATATTTTTCGACTTTTCCCGTTGAAAAATTACCGAAATTTTAACCCAAAACTGAAAATCAACTAAACATTTCGAATACACATAAGTCTAATCTACCATTGTTCCCAATCACTTGTCCGAGGGGTATTTCGAGTACTCCAAGATATACTTTCGACGGACCCTTGTCAAGGGTCCGATCGTTCAAACAATGAGACTTCGTACCCTCGATATAAGTGTTCGAGGGGTTATCGGTTTCGTGCCCTTGAGTTTCAAATAGACAGAACAGAGATGTTCGGGACCCAAGTAAACGAAAAGACTTCCGAGCCCCGAGCATCCCTGTTCGACAGTTCGGAATTTTTCTGGAGGGCTCACTCCCTATCTGAAACGCGAGGGGTCGAAATCTGCTAGCAACGGCTATTGGCACCACTAACGAGGAAAGGACACCACCTGGCAAATCGCTTTTGAGCCGTGAGCTAGTGGACAATAGGTAATCAAGTATGCTGAATCCGAATATGGCAATCATTTGAGCCGCTAGCCCTATTGAGACCCGGTTTTTAAAAAACCAGTTTTCTAGGCCAAACAATTTTTTTTCCGAAAATTTTTTTTTAACCTGTGCGGATTAAAGAGCATACCGCGAAACCTATAAAAAACATGTTTTAACAGTTTTCCGAGGGTTTTGGAAAGATTTCTGGAGGGCAAAACTTTGCATAGGGCAAAATTTTGTATTGTATAGGGCAAAATTACGTTCTTGGCCTTTTCATACTTTTCAATGAAAAATCAACAATAAATAGGTAATCGACGGTGGAGATTCCGAATATAATCAGCAGGTGCCAGAAAGGAATAAGCAAAAGCTGGCAGTTTTGCTTTCGCGGAACGTTTCCCTTAAACTCTGAAGTGACCAGGTTCCTATTTAAAGGTGTTCCTGCTGTAAATCCTTTACGTCTATTCGCTACAGCCATCATGAACGTTTCGAATATAGTAAATCGCTTGAGTGATTTAGTCCGTAAGAATTTGGGTTTGACTTCGTCATCTCCAACATCTCAAAAAGAGTG